AGTGAAACCAACTGAAACACCGGAACCCTGAAACCCGATAATCTGATCTTAGAAAATGTTAAGGCGGGAGTGCTAGAGGATATTAACCAATCACAATCTCATATCTCACCTTTGAACTTATAACAGCTGTTCCCTTTGTTGCATAACGTTCTTCACCTGCAATGAGTAGAGTCAACAGAGCAGTAGCAAGTTGCGCGTATATGGTGCTACAACTTAGATAGTCATGATGTGTCTAAATATATACAACTTTTTCCTACAACGTCAATGACCATGATTGTCCAGAAAAAGGATGCCATTTTATTTTCGTTAAAATCTTCAAATGCAGGATATGAGTAAGATATCGCTTGCAGCATATTCCACAAAGCCGTCTCTCAGAAATATTAATGTTGTTAAATTTTAAACATATATTTATCAAATAGTATAAACATGTTGGATTGCTTAAATAGAAGGAGAAGAGAGAAAGAGGGGAAGCGTCTAACCAGATAATTCCCACTTATCGAACTTCACTAGCCATGTGTTTGAACCAACATGTGTAGCTAATACCCCATCCACCCAAACCCGAAATTGTTTTCCCTGTTTGTCTCCGTAGCAGTTTCTCAGAGCATTTATGCTGTCAGAAAGAGAGTGCTCAACTCCAGAAGGATGGACAAACGTACCGGATGGAGACTGACCCAAGGAAAACATAATTAAAGGTTAGCAGCTGATGAGACGAACACAATTAAGGTGATGCAAAAGGGCAACACATGATATGAAATGATTAAATACCAAAATATCCAAGGTCTGTTTATTTTTACAAAAGTACACAGAAGAAGTTTACTCAATCCAAGGATTTAACCCAAAATTAAACCAGAAAAATAATGTTTTGACAGTTTTTTTTTTTTCAGTCAATTGGAACCAAATGTTGTCACTAAACAATTTTACAAGTTTAATAATAATTTAACAAACAATTTTATGGGTTCAATAATAATTTCAAAGGAATGATTTCTCTTTATAAAGATGACGTAATTGGACAATGCAAACATACATTTAAGAAAATTGAGCAAGTTCACACTCTGGCATGCAGATGTTGTAGACAGGTAATTTCATTTTTTCAGTACACTATATTCACATATTTTGATGTCTTAGAAAACAGAATACCAAAATGACAATAGTGATAAACGTGAAGCACGCACGGTCAACGTCAATAGACCCCAAAACTTCAGCTCTCATGTAATATGGCATCATACACACTCACCTCCACTGCTTTGTCTGATCACAATACGACTAAGTTTTATTTGTATATAAACGAGTGTTACAAACTGGGCTCGAGTCATAGATTTATTATGTAGTTGAAAAAGCTAATTGAATAGGAAGGGAAAAAAAAATGAATTCTAAGTTACTAACCTCTAGGCCATATACAAAATGAGAAGTGACTTACTTTTTCTTTCCTACACAAGATTTACGAAAAGAACCAGAACTCATGTAATCTGTTAACTACAAATTGAACTAGAAAATTTTTGAAGTATTTCAAAAGATGTTCAAATCTGAAATGGAAACGATGATAATATCTTCTGACAGCATAAATTTATGCAATAAATATAAGATGGTGTAATCTCATAAAACTCAGTATTTAGGAGAAGGGAAGATATAAACATACGCAATCTGCTTTCAAACTTGCCAAATAGATCTCTGAATTCTCAACTTCTGCGCGTCTCCATTTCTCATAGAACAAGAAAAACTTTACTAGTTCGTGACCAGGATTTGGATTCTCCAGTTTATAGTCAGAAAAATCTGCAATATCTCTTGGGGGCAAACTCGGACCTAGCTTAAAGTGGCCAATGGCTTGTATGATTCCAGCTGCACATCTCTCTGTTGCATGAATAATCCTAGTGTTACCCTTAGCATTTTTAGCATGCCAATGCAACAATTCTTCTTGGGCATTGCTAACCTGTATGATCATAAATAACAAAATAATGCCAATTAATGAGGAAAACCACATTTCATTGTAAGAAAATAGTGCTTAAATATGAAGAGAAACAAGTTGAGCTACAAACCATGACACCATATACTTCTGGAATGCTAAAAAGCTCAGCATCATTTCCAGAGTCACCACAAACAAGAGTGTTAACAGGTGGCCTTCCCTCACTCTTAAATTTCTTAAGCAAATATGCAAGAGCTTGTCCTTTGCCAGCACCTTGTGGTAATATATCCAAATCCATTCCTCCACTATAGATTATCTTCACATCCAACTAACCGAAGATAAAGCAACAACTTAGGTCAATAAGAAAAGCAACAATACCTATGATACTCCGAAAACCTTTAACACTTACAGAATTTTCAACACAGGTCCGCAGTATAAATGAAAAATGCTGTCTAAGATTTATATCTTACCCTACGCTTTACCAAAACTTCTGAAAGAGCCTTTGTCACTTCCTGAGCCTTGGCTTTCTCAACATAAAAGCTAACCTTGTGTGGCCGTTGCTCTGTTTCTGCCTGAATTCCACATAAAGTTTAATACTTCAGAAAGTTCAATACAACTAGTTTCTTATTTGAATTTCACTTCAGTTTATTCCAATGCACGTCTATAACAGAATTCACGACATGACACCACGAGAGACACTAATTAACGCCAATAACCTATATAATATACCTGAAGTTTAAGTTCAGAAAATTTGCTGGCTTCCTCCTTGACTATGTTCCTATCCCATTTTTTATTCAGAACCTCAACCCAGCCATCATCAGGAACCATTGTGTTACCATATGTTATCTCGGTTCCCACAGACATAATTGTTATATCTGGAGTTAACATGGGTTTCTCTTTCCTCAATTCTTTGTACAGTGTCGGTGACCTTCCAGTTGAAAAAACTAGCAGAGAATCGTGACGGTAATTTGCTTCCCACAAAGAATTGAATCTGAGCAGGGAAAGGTTCTCAGTGTCGTGATGATCAACCTGCAATCGAAGCATTCACTACTAAAATCGCTGAAGAAAGGGAACGAAGCGAAACCACAATGACAACTAAAGTTACAGAACCTACCATTGTATGATCAAGATCTGAAACTATCATTAGCCGGGCAGGAGCTTCGAGCCGATCCATGACTATCCTATACCCAACGCAAACCTGCACTGAATTATAATATACAAAAGATACAAACATCTGTAAAACCATTCCAACTCCAAAACCAAACATTCGAATTCATCAAGATGACCCTCAATCAAACACAAAGTTTGAAATTTAAAAATAAATAAATAAAATATATTTTTTGTTAAATTCTTCAGCCAACTAACTTCGGAAGTTCAATCCGAGTCTTTTACACAAAACAAAAACCCAATAGCTCAAATCTCCCGAGTTTTCTCTCAGTTTCGACACTATTTTCCCGGCAACCAAACAGTCAGACAGAAATTGAGCCTAAACACAATGAATCAATACGACTGCGATGGACAACAATTGAGAAATTCAAATCCAAACACCAGAATTCATTAAGATGATCCTGAATCATATTGAAAGTTTAAACAATATTTTATAAATCCCGAGTCTTTCCGCATTCCGGGTCTGACGAATAACAACCAAAAGAAGAAAAGAAAAACTCAAAAGCTCGAATTTTCTTTCACCTTCCACACAATTCTCCCGGCAACCAAACAGATTGCCACAAATTGAAACTAAACGCAACGAATTAACAACAATCACGATGAACAATTAGCGGGAATTGCAAAAATCACCTGGAAACTTGAGAGCAAAAGTCCGATTCGAAGCGATTGGGGATCGAAGATTGGGATTATTAGGTTTTCGAGGAATTGGGGGAAGGAGAGAGTGAGATGACGAAGTGAGTGATTGAAAGGTATGCATACAACGAACGAGCGAAGCAGATATCGGAAAGCGAATTGGATCCAAATTCCTTGGCGCTTCTTTTGTGAACAAAAGAGAGCTTACATTTGCGCTTCGGACACGTGGCAGCTTTTGGAGGGGAGGTGAGCATGTGATGTGTGTGTGGGGACCACTGTGGGGTGGATTTGACGGTTGTGATGGAGCTGGGGTTCAGAGGTGGACAGTGGTGATTGCAGTGGGTTGAGGGGGATCGGGAGGGGTTCAGATTCGTTCCCGAACTCCTGGGCACACAACTACAGAACGTAAGCATATTCATTCTTGTCATACGCTCTATACTTTTGTTTGGGCACTTTAGCTAAAATAATTTTTAAAATTAGCATAACTACTCAATTTATATTCTGACAATAAAAATCAATAGAAATTTGTTCTTGAATTTATACATCGTAATCAATAGGTTATTATGTGAAAATCTATTTATATTCTCGTTAAATTATTATGTGAACGACCACGTAACTACTTTTTAAAGATGTTCTTGTCAAACCAACTCCTCTGCTTATCGAGGATATCAACAAATTTTTCATGGAATTATTAAAATGATTTACGGTAAACAAACTCAGTGACCACTTCTATTGATTTTCATGATTCAAAAGCCTTTTTTGTATGAATACAATTCGCATGTGTTTCTCCAAAAGATATGAAAGCATCGGCGTGATTTGAACCAAGAAATCTCAGATGATAAAAGCTATATCATTGTCTCAACAACTTAATGCGTCTGTTACCTTTGGATTGAGAGTGAAGTAGGCTTGAGGGTGTGATATATTCAGAAGAAACAAGAGTTCAACGGCTTCGTCTTCTTCTAAGATTGCTTTTGTTACCTAGGATAGGAGGCTCACATGGATGAGTTGACCGTGCGGCTTTGATTGTTGTTTAAAAAATGTATTTCCTGAAAGAAAGAAAAAAGAATTTAAAAGGTTGCCCACCAATTTGTCCCATTCTCCAAGAGTGAAAATATTTTGTCCCATCTTCACCAGGAATCCTGAAGTGGAATCACAACCCAATTCCAATCGATTTCAACCTACAAAACCCAGCATACAAGCTCCATGTATATCTCTCCCACCAAAGCTTTCCCTACCAAATAAAAAAAAAATGCCCTTTTCCCACTCACTTTCCATACCTGAGCTTGGATTCTCTCCTTCCATGGAGATTTATCAGTTTCCCAGTCGCCACTGCAGCACCCAGTTGAGTTCTTCAAAACCCAGAATTCAAAATCACAGATTTCAGCAGCATGGCTATCAGGGAAATGGCGTCAGCCTCTGTGGATTGCAATTGGGGTCTTGGAGTTCTCAAGCTTTTGGCCATGGATGTAGTTTGCAGTTGGGTAGAGTCAGACCCAGAAGCCGAAAACTCAAAGTTCTCTCCTTTGGGCATGGTAGAAGCTCACTTCCCAATGATTGCAAGCTCAGTGGATTGGGTTTAGGGTATGGCAAAAGCAAATTGTTTCAAGGGAGTCATTTGGGGGGTTCAGATTTTAGTAGGTACAGGCATGGGAGAGTGGAATTGGGGTTGGATGAGGTGAATTCGAGGAATTTTAGTTTCGTTGTGAGGTCTAGTTCGACATTGAGTGTGGAGAAAGAGGTGGAAAGGGAGGGAGGTGGCGGGAAGAAAAATTATGATGCCATTGTTATAGGGTCAGGAATTGGAGGGTTGGTTGCAGCAACACAATTGGCTGTGAAGGGTGCAAAGGTTTTGGTTTTGGAGAAGTACGTGATTCCTGGTGGGAGCTCTGGGTATTATGAGAGGGATGGTTATACTTTTGATGTTGGATCTTCTGTGATGTTTGGGTTCAGCGATAAGGTCAGTTTTTCGTGTAAAGTTTTGATTTTTCGTTGCATACATTGCGGTTTACTTGATAGCTATATGAGTTGAGTTGAAAATGGTTGAATAGAACTTGATTATTCCATATGTCAAAAATCTTGTCCGTCATAAAGCATGTAAACTAGTAAAAAAATTATTATCCTACTGAAAGGAAAAAAAACATTACTAAAAGTAGAAAGGATTAGTCCTCTCTTTCGAATAATTCAATGTATATTACACCTTGTTATCAGTGGCTCTTTGTTGACTGATTGAAAAGTTACTTTGCGCTATGATTTTGACTTTCTGTGATAGTAGTTCGATATCTGTGACGGAAATAATTGTGCAGAAGTTTGAAGAATTTCTTTTCTTTCTTTTCTTAATCAAAAGAACTTGTGGAAACTTATTGGAGGTTGTGAGTTACTACCATGAAGAGCATTGTGTCCTTGTAGAAACTTGTACGCATGGGAATGTAACAGCAGACATTCATTACAGTATTTCCCATAGACATGCTACAGTTAGTTAACAAGTGACATATAGAGCTTAAGGACTCTGGGGAAAAAAGGAGGGATTTGTCCAAGGGCAGACACATGTCTGAATCGGAAAGTAGTCATTAACTGAAAGTGTTTAAATTTACAGCAAGGTGGTCTGCAAATATGTAAAAGATAATTAACTCTCATCCATGTTGTATGTTTTGGTATAACTTTACATTTTACTTCTTTTGGTAATGACATGCAGTTCTGATTTTCTAAGCATGAACTCCATCTTGTTGGCATTTTGTATTGGTTGAAGAACTTTTATTTGTCCTGCATCTGTCATGGTTCAGTGAGGCCTGCATTTTGTCGGTTTTGATATTTTCTCATGAACTATTATCACTGAATTTGTAATATGGCAGGGCAATTTAAATTTGATAACCCAAGCACTGGCAGCTGTAGGTTGTGAGATGCCGGTGATACCTGATCCGACTACTGTCCATTACCATCTACCTGATAATCTTTCTGTCGTAGTGCACAGAGAATACAGTGAATTTATTTCAGAACTTACTAATAAATTTCCCCATGAAAAGCAAGGGATTCTCAAATTCTATGGTGTATGTTGGAAGGTCTGTTCTTTTCGTTTTTCATTTACTTTTCAAGTTGACTGGGAGTTCCTTTGGGATATTTCCGTTACTTGTAATTCCGAACTGACACTAATACATTGTGTACATATGTAAAGATTTTCAATGCCTTGAACTCATTGGAACTGAAGTCACTTGAGGAGCCAATCTACCTTTTTGGACAGTTCTTTCAAAAGCCTGTTGAATGCTTGACACTTGGTAAGCATTTGTTTTTGTATATTTTTTTCGCTGCAATGACTTTTCAAACCTAAATTCGAGTCATCGTGCAAGATATAATTTAGCCTTTGGTTTGTCTTTCCAGCTTTACCTTGGATATTTTTTGGGGGCAACATTATAGTTATTATGTCCGTAGGATTAAATTATTGGTTAAAGTAGTTGAAAACGGGAAAATTTTGAATCCCTAATTGATCGATGCTTGCAGTTATTTAATGAGATCTATTGATGCAGTTACTTGAACAGAAAAGAAATTGATACTTTTAGTCTAGGACTTCGGTTCGTTATCTGTGTTTTCAAATGCTTACATGATGGGCTAACTATTGCAGCCTACTATTTGCCTCAAAATGCTGGGGATATAGCTCGCAAATACATTCAGGACCCCCAGCTGTTGTCTTTCATAGATGCAGAGGTGGGTTGTTCGATCCTATTGAAATTCGTATTTACGATTTTATATCATTTGTAAATTTATTCGTCTTTGGTGGTCTACGAATGGTCTTCCTTCCCCTCCATCTCATAAAAAGTTTTACATTTGTATCCAGTGTTTTATTGTGAGTACAGTCAAGGCTTTGCAAACACCAATGATCAATGCAAGCATGGTAAGATTTTCAAGTTGCTCTTTGGGTACTTCCTTGTGTATTTTCCTCTTGTCATTTATGATTTCGACAGGTTATGTGTGATAGGCATTATGGTGGGATTAACTACCCTGTTGGTGGTGTTGGTGGAATTGCAAAGTCCTTAGCAAAGGGTCTGGTAGACCAGGGCAGTGAGATACTTTACAAGGCCAATGTTACTAACATCATAGTTGATCAGGGCAGAGCGGTGAGTTCAAATTTAGTCTTGGATTAGTGATGCAAAGATATCTATTCTTTGCTTCATTTATACTAGTCAAAGATAATTTTGTTTATGTTATTTTAGTGTGCATGTAGGTTGGAGTAAGGCTTTCAGATGGGAGGGAATTCTTTGCAAAAACCATAATATCAAATGCTACAAGATGGAATACCTTTGGTTAGTGAGACCAGCAGTTAATTTATTGGATGATCGTTGTTTGCTGCCGGATGTTGCGCTGTTATATGTAGCTCGTTTAAAGGAAGTCTAATCACCTTCAACTTTATTTTAGGAAAACTGATAAAAGCAGACCAGGTCCCGAAACAAGAGGAAGATTTTCAGAAAGTTTATGTTAAGGCCCCATCTTTTCTTTCCATTCACATGGGGGTGAAAGCTGAGGTTTTGCCACCAGAAACAGATTGCCACCATTTTGTGCTTGAGGTACTTTTGTTTTTCCTTTTCAGTACCATCATTTGCTAGGATACGTTTTTGGGCTTTGAACTAGGAATGTTTTTGCTCATCTTTTCTTCATTGTCTTCCATGTTTTTCAGGATGATTGGACGAGGTTAGAAGAGCCTTATGGAAGTATATTTTTAAGCATTCCAACTGTTCTTGATTCATCGTTGGCCCCAGAAGGACGCCATATTCTTCACATATTTACAACCTCTTCCATAGAGGACTGGGAGGTAACCATTTGTTGTCAAAGTTACATTGATTCCTTCTCCACTCTCTTTCCGTAGCCAGCCCCTCCTTGTACATTGTAATTGTAACTTGAGTAACTAACGAGGTGGAGATTTCTTTATAGGGACTCTCTCGAAAGGACTATGAGGCAAAGAAGGAGCTTGTAGCAGATGAAATCATTTGCAGATTAGAGAATAAACTATTTCCAGGGCTCAAATCGTCCATCGTTTTTAAGGAGGTAATATTGTACCCTATTCACTTCTAATCTTTACTCACCCAATTGAGATATCTGAAATAGTGTTAAGGTTGTGAGCCTTGTGACATGGAAAGGAGAGAGACAGAGCAGAAGATGGGAGGAAATTAGAAAAAAATGTTTGAGGGCTTAGCACTTCTCTCCCTAGAACTTACATATTTATTAAATACGTGTTTATTCTCTTCAACTTAACAAATGTTCCTCCTAAGGGGCATTTGAATTTTTAGGCTCCCTGCTTTCTATGAGCTTAACCAAGCTGATTCCACAAAATATTCCCTTCTGTGGGTGAATACTTAGGTATGCTTAGGATTCTTAGAATTCCACAACTTTTAGTTTACACGATTTGATATGATTATTGAAAGCTTCTCCAATCTTGGCAGGTGGGAACACCAAAGACACACAGGCGGTACCTGGCTCGTGACAAGGGTACTTACGGACCAATACCACGAAATACTCCTAAGGGATTATTGGGAATGCCATTCAATACCACCGTAAGTTCAGTTACAATATCAAATGGATGTTTTAATAGTAGTCATTGATTTTAAGCATACTGAACAAAGTGTGCTATGCGATGATGAAAAATGCAGGCCATAGATGGTCTTTACTGTGTTGGTGATAGCTGCTTTCCGGGACAAGGAGTTATAGCCGTATCCTTCTCAGGAGTAATGTGTGCTCATCGAGTAGCTGCTGATATTGGTATTTTCTCAGCGTTCTTTTTATCCCTTTTGGGGTTGCTTTTGTAATCTGATTTTACTCTTGAAAAGAAGTTTAATGGAACAAAGGTGCCACTGGCAGCTCCTCTTTCTGAACCAAAAGAGGCATCATGGGCACCTCCTACCTTCTCCTCATCCCTAGAAAAAGCCTGCCAAGTTTGGTCTTCATGGGCAGTCTTTTCTTTTTACAGCATAGGAAATTAGAGTAAAAAGATGTGGAATTAAAGTATTGGTAAGGGTAACAGTATATTTTCATTAACAAAAAAAAATATTGGGGTGATTAAGGAGCGAACAGAGGGAGTTCAAATGCAGCGATCCATAGCTGATTTGATGTGTAGAACTGTTTAGAGCTTTTATGTTGGTTTATTTATTTCGTTTCCTCAGTTTTTTATTTCTTTGGCAGGGCTTGAGAAGAAGTCACCAGTATTGGATGCTGCCCTCCTTCGACTACTTGGATGGTTAAGGACATTAGCGTGAGGACTTCATACAGGACAATATGTAATGCAGCTTGGCATTTTGGCTGCAGATGCATTATCTTCTTTATCACATACCACGGTAGCTCTAACAGCAGTTGGGATATATATCATCCATACTATTTAGCAGCGATTTTCGATGGGATAATATAAGATCATTATGGCCATTTGGCTGGAATGGCAGGTATATATCCTGCTTGTAAGTTAGCATTCTTGTGCAGCAGGTAGACGCGTATGTACGCGGTATCTGTCATATAGTTTATACATGAGCTATAGAGAAACTGTACAGTGGTCTCCATGTTGTAAGAAGTATAACCCTTTCCTGCCAAGTCTGTTAGCTGATAAATTTTAGACTTCTTAGAATGGAGACTGCAAGTTCCAGATTAGTTAACTTTGAAACTCATTCTTTTAAGGATAGTGTTATTCGCACACTCATTTTTACCTCTCACGTACCCTTGTTAATTTTTGGCCCTTTATATTCTTGAATTCATTTAATCCAACGGTCAAAAATTGAGAAAGATGTGTGACAAGTAAAAATGCATGTACTATCGTCTTTTAATTGATCTAGGCTTCCTTGAAGACTTGATCACATTAGTTGGGGAAGAGCTTATGAAAATCTTTTTATGATGAAAGTCTTTCCGGCCCCACGGAAGAAGCGGATAACCGTGGCTTGTTACCCGATGTTCCTCTTTTTAAGAAAAAATAAAAATAAAAAGAACTCCCATTTTTCTTGGGATACTTTATCTCAAGATTGCAAAATTTGTTGGCAAAAGGTCGATGGATTTATATATATTTTTTCTTTAGAATCTCCATTGTTAGGTTATTTTAAGGGTTTACGGTGTGGAAAGCTTCCTAACCTTTAACAATTTAACTCACTAACGCTATAAGTAAATAAACAAAAGAACTGCGCTAATTACAATTTACACCATCTAGGTTTACAGTGGTTTTCAAAATGAGCAATAAGATTCAAGTTTCTCACATATGGCACTAAATTTTTTTTTTTTAATAAATGCACTAACTATTTTAAAATCATGTAATTTAGGTCTTCCAGTTGTTTGACCTACTTACCCTTTACCAAAATTATTGACGATCATAAGACTCATTTCTGAGTTGACGGGTTGTGTCACATTTCTGAGTCGACTTCGATTTCGGAGAAGAAGCGCAAGCGCTGCACAAACAAAAAGAAAAAGGTCAAGAAAGAGGATGGAGTGGGATCATAGAAGTTAGGGTCATAGTTGTTGGTATTGAGAAGTTTACTAACTCAATACCAAAATATGTGGGTGATAAGTTTACAAACTCTATCACACCTCTCATTTTCATTCTCAATAAAATTGGACAAAAATAGAGAAATGAGGGAAGCTACAAGCTTTGGGAAACAAGGCACTTTGATATATGAAAAGAGAGTTTACAAACACAATAGCTTACAAGCTGAAAATGAGAATGGGAAATGGGATTCGGATGGGATGCTCTAAGGCTTAGCAAGATGGCCTATTTATACAAAACTTGATAAACAATACAACAACACATACAATGAAAGATGGTGTTTACCATCTTTCCACTCTTTCAAACACATGCAGCAACTTTGGATAGTTGGCACACACATACATTGCATCCTTCCAGCTTGCAAACACAACCTTTCGGCTAGCACACAGCATGGCAGCACACATCTGCTGTCTTTCAACACACTTTCAGCTGGCACATGGAGAAAACTTTAGTCTTTGCAGTTGCAGCAAGTGTGAATACAACCTGTAAAGAAACTAACAGCTAGCTGCTGCCATTTACAACCTATTTTGATTTGAATTTCCAACACACCTCCTCAAATCAAAACGCCTTCATTCCTAGCATTTCACGTAGTAGCCGAAATGATTCAACTGGTAGTGGCTTAGTGAAGATGTCTGCCACTTGTTCCTTCGTGTGACAATAGACAAGCTCAATTGTCTTTTGCTTCACATGATCCCTCAAAAAATGGAACCTGGTATCAATGTGTTTGCTCCTTCCATGTTGAACAGGATTCTTTGCAAGCTTGATTGCAGACATGTTATCCACATGAATCACAGTCGATTCCACTTGTGGATGACACACTGACTTCAATAGATTTCTTAACCAAATTGCCTCACACACTGTTGAGGCTACAGCAACATACTCGGCTTCACATGATGACAAAGCAACAATTGATTGCTTCTTTGAAGTCCATGAGAAAGTTGTTGATCCTAGAAAAAACACATAGCCAGTTGTGCTTTTCCTTTTATCTTGGTCACCTCCCCAATCACTATCTGAATAACCAAATAATTTTGCATCTTCACCAAAATTATAAAACAGACCATAGTTTAGAGTACCTCTTATGTACCTCAAAATTCTCTTGGCTGCCAGCCAATGAGACTCCTTTGGTGTTTCCATGTACCGACTCACGAGTCCAACTCCATAAACTATATCAGGTCTTGTGATTGTAAGGTACCTTAGACTTCCAACCAAGCTTTTGTACACAGTTGAGTTTACAAACTCACCTTCTCCTTCTTTAGACAACTTCAATCCAGTTGCAACTGGAGTGTTGACAATATTGCACTTATCCATATTGAATTTCTCCAATATATCTCTCATGTACTTTTGTTGAGAGATGTAGATACCGTCACTTTCTTGCTTCACCTCTATGCCAAGAAAGTATGACATTAATCCATTGTCAGTCATCTCAAATTCACTGAACATGGATTGCTTGAACTCACAGAACATTGCTTCATTGTTTCCTGTAAACAACAAGTCATCTACATAGAGACAAATAATTAAGAACTCCCCTTTTGCACCATTCTTCATGTAAACTGAATGCTCGTATGGACATTTCTGAAATCCATTTTGGTGAAGGTAGTTGTCAATCCTTGAGTTCCAAGCTCGTGGTGCTTGCTTAAGGCCATACAAAGCCTTCTTCAAACGATACACCTTATCTTCTTTTCCTTGTACTTGAAAGCCTTCTGGTTGTTCCACGTACACTTCTTCCTCAAGTACTCCATTAAGGAAGGCTGACTTGACATCTAGTTGATAAATTTTCCATTTATGATGAGCGGCAAGAGAGATTAGCAATCTTACCGTGTCAAGTCTTGCAACTGGAGCATAGACTTCATCATAGTCCACTCCGTACTTCTGTTTGTAGCCCTTTGCTACAAGCCTTGATTTGTATCGATCCACACTCCCATTTGCAGTGCGTTTGATCTTGTAAACCCACTTGACACCAATAGCCTTCTGATTTGGTGGGAGCTTTGTCAACTCCCAAGTGTCATTCTTCTCGATAGCATGGATTTCTTCCTCCATGGCTATTCTCCAACGATCTTCTTCCACAGCTTCATTGAATGAGAGAGGCTCGTGGTCTGCATACAAGCAGAAAAGGTTGGTTTCTTCTTCTTCTTCTTGTCCATATATCTCGGTAAGACTTCTTAGCCTCACTGGAGTTGAAGAGCCGCTTTCTTCACTAGATGTAGGACCACTCCTTGCAGTTCTGTGCAATGGAGTTTTTGTGGTTGTTTGAGCAGGTTGTTGCTCAACAGGTGGTACAACTTCTGGTTCTTCAAAATTAGTGGAGACGATCTTCTCTTTACTGACTTCTTTGTTGTTCCACTTCCATGCCTCTTCCTCACTGAAGATGACATCTCTACTAACCACTAGCTTGCCAGTTAGTGGGTTGTAGAGCTTGTATGCCTTGGACTCTTCACTATAGCCCACAAACACACACTTCTCACCTCGATCATCGAGCTTTCTCCTCTTGGCTTCTGGAACTTGAGCATATGCAACACACCCAAAAACTCTTAGGTGTGCAACACTCGGCTTATATCCACTCCAAGCTTCTTGTGGTGTCATCCTCTTGACACTCTTTGTTGGACATCAATTCAACAAATAAATCGAACAAGCTACAGCTTCTGCCCACAATTCTTTTGGCAAATTCTTCTCCTTAAGCATGGACCTTGTCATGTCAAGAATGGTTCGATTCTTTCTTTCGGCTATCCCATTTTGCTGTGGGGTATAGGCAACAGTCAGTTGATGCCTAATTCCTTGCTCCTTGCAGTATGCTTGGAAAGCATTGGAGGTGTACTCTCCACCTCTATCTGATCTCACAGCCACAAGCTTGTGGTTGCTTTCAGCCTCTGTGAGTGCCTTGAACTCCTTGAAGATTCTTAGGGCAGCCGACTTCTCCATGAGAAAATAAACCCAAGTCTTCCTACTAAAATCATCAATGAAAGTAATAAAATACCTATTACCTCCATAAGACATGGGATCCAATGGACCACATATATCTGTGTGCACCAACTGCAGTGGTGCCTTTGCTCTCCATGTATCACCAACAGGGAACGATAGTCGTGCTTGCTTGCCAAGCACACAACCTTCACATACTTGGCGTGTGGCTTCAATTTGGGGTAGACCACGAACCATTCCTCCACTTGACAGCAACTTTAGGCCATTGAAATGAAGATGGCCAAATCGAATATGCCATTTCCATGACTCATCTTCCATTACACCGATGTTGCAACTCCCAATCTTTGTGTTCAACTTCAACGGGAACATTCGGTTCTTTGACATTTGAACACGTGCAATAAGTTTTCTCCTTGCATTCCTGAGAGTGAGAAACATATCCTCCATATGTATAATATACCTTTTCTGGAGCAGTTGACCAATGCTCAGAATGTTGCTCTTCATACCTGGTATGTAGTAGGTATCGGAGATGTATTCTTCTCTACCATCTTTCTGGATGATCTTGATCTTCCCTTTGCCTTCAACTGGCAACTTTGAGGAGTCACCAAGACTTACATATCCATAGGCCCCATCTTTGAGTTCGGCAAAAAACTCATTCTTTCCACACATGTGATTGCTTGCACCAGAGTCCAAATACCAAACATCTTGTTGGCTACTGGAATCATGGTGTGCTAGCAAGACTGTAAGTTCCTCACCAGCATTTCCATTTGATTCTGCCATGTTGACATGCTCACCATTTTTATATGAACATTCATTTGCATAATGTCCATATTGCTTGCAAGTGTGACATTGGATATGCGCCTTTCCTCGGGTAGATCTCCACTCTTGAGATTGACCTCGGTTTTGTTCATAGCCTCGACCTCTTCCTCGGGCTCGTCCTCGGCTACGGTTGGATGAACTCCCACGACGTGAGTGCCCACGACCTTTATTTGGTTTGTCAATATTCAACTTTGACTCCAAAGCTTGCTCTAGCATTGTGGGGCTTGCATTCTTCTGAATGCGTTGCTCGTGAACTAGGAGGGATCCTAGTAGCTCCTCTGCGCTCATCGCCTCCAAATTCTTGGATTCCTCAATGGCAGTCACCACATGCTCAAACTTAGATGTGAGTGACCGGAGTATCTTCTCCACAACTCGTACTTCATCGAGTCTCTCGCCATTTCTCCTCATTTGATTTACTATCACAATGAGCCTTGAGTGATAGTCGGAGATGCTCTCCCCTTCATTCATGTGAGCAGTTTCAAAATCTGCTCGAAGTGACTGTAACCTCACTTTCTTGACTCGATCTACTCCTTTGTAGATTATACTGAGTGTGTCCCATACTTGCTTGCTCATTGTTGCTTCTGCAACCTTCTCGAACGTTGAATCTTCTAATCCTTGATAGAGAAGATACAACGCCTTATGGTCCTTCTTTCGTAAATCCTTGAAAGTGTTCCTTTGATCTGCAGTATATGTGGCTTCTTGCTCGGTAGTGGGTACAACATACCCATTACTGACAACTTCCCATAGCTCTTGTGATCCAAACAATGCTTTGAATTGGATGCACCATCTTTCATAATTTTCTTTCTTCAATGTGGGAACTTGGAGCTGCACTAAGTTGGATGCCATAACTGCTGCACCTGCCAGATGGTATTCTGGCTCTGATACCAACTGTTGGTATTGAGAAGTTTACTAACTCAATACCAAAATATGTGGGTGATAAGTTTACAAACTCTATCACACCTCTCACTTTCACTCTCAATAAAATTGGACAAAAATAGAGAAATGAGGGAAGCTACAAGCTTTGGGAAACAAGGCACTTTGATATATGAAAAGAGAGTTTACAAACACAATAGCTTACAAGCTGAAAATGAGAATGGGAAATGGGATTCGGATGGGATGCTCTAAGGCTTAGCAAGATGGCCTATTTATACAAAACTGAAATTGATAAACAATACAACAACACATACAATGAAAGATGGTGTTTACCATCTTTCCACTCTTTCAAACACATGCAGCAACTTTGGATAGTTGGCACACACATACATTGCATCCTTCCAGCTTGCAAACACAACCTTTCGGCTAGCACACAGCATGGCAGCACACATCTGCTGTCTTTCAACACACTTTCAGCTGGCACATGGAGAAAACTTTAGTCTTTGCAGTTGCAGCAAGTGTGAATACAACCCGTAAAGAAACTAACAGCTAGCAGCTGCCATTTACAACCTGTTTTGATTTGAATTTCCAACAATAGTCACAACATGTGAATGTGATCACTATTCATGATATTATCATGGAGCAGTAGGCGAGCCACCTTGGGTTCCAAGTATGTCAGAGGCCGAAACCCTAGAAGTACCTTCGCCTGCTGCTTCTGGGATTGTCGCCGACGGAGTAGTACAAGAGGAAGCTTGGAGTCCAAGTTTTACAGAGCAATTACTTGCTGAAACCCATGAGGTGTTTGCTCCAACCGCTTCTGGGATTGTGGATGACGGGGGAGGAAAAGAGGAAGCTTGGAGTCCAAGTTTTGATTGCAACACTGGTGTTATTGATACAGTTGACAATACTGAAACCTTCAAAGTTTTGAGATATCAGTCCTAAATAGAATCTGATGCAGTTACTTGAAAAGATAAAAAATAAAACGATATTTTTAGATGATATTGTTATTCTTCTTGTGTTTGGGTTCGTTCGTCGCGAGGTTTATTGCACTTCTGTTTCCTAAGCCTAACACTAACCTGTTGTCTGTGATTTCAAAGCTTACATGATGGGTGTTTTTTTGGGTCATATCTTGCGCTTTTCCTCTTGTTTCCTCATTTATGTTTTTGACAGGTTACATGTGACAGGCATTCTGGTTGGACTAACCACCCTGTTGGTGGTGGTGGTGGAGGAATTGCAGAGTCCTTAGCGAAATGTATCTATTCTTTGTTTACAGGGACAATGTTACTAACATCATAGTTGTTCAGGGCAGAGGTGCCAGTTCTTAGTTGACCATTCCGCTGGGGTTTCCTCTTTGAGTGGAAGCTCTTGTCCTGTACTCCTCAGTCCTCACTGACCCAAAGAAGATGGCTCCCTCGCTAAGCATGCCGGCGGAGAGGACGCTGAATGCCTAAAAAGACAAATCCAAACTATATGCTTTACACAAACTTTCCAGGCCTCCCTCTAGCACGCGGGGATCATCCCATGACGCAAATATAATAGTATTTATATTTGTCGAAAGATGATTTTGTTTATGTTATTTTGGTGTTCATGCAGGTCGGACCATCGGAAAAAGGCTTCAGACGGGTTCTTTGCCAAAACCTTATTATCAAATGCTACCAGAGGAACACTTTGGTTAATTTTGTTTAACATGGGGTGACAGCTTTTGGTAATTTTATTTAGTTTGAAGTTCTTGGTTACCTACTTAATTAATCGTTTCGCAGAAACAAAGCTTCAGCATTTTTAAAACATATCCGGTAGTTCAATAAAGTTCATTCATGAGTCAAGTAAAATCATACTGAGTTTTCGTCGATTACAATTGGCATACAAAGTACAGTTTCTGATATGAATTCCACTGTTACCTAGAGTTTACAGATTCCAAAAACAACTCTAAAGTTTCTCTCTCGATATGGTGTTTTGGCTATTAGCCAGCCAACCAATCTATCTGATTTTTCACATGCTGCCTGAGATAAATTTAACAAACTTCTTGGAACAGAGAAGGCATAAGTTGCAAATCAGTGGAACCTCACTAGTTTTCCTCAGTTAATATCGAAACTCATGCTTTAGACAATAGCTTTTAAAAGATGTAGGCGTCCTTGAGTTCTATGCCCCACCTTGAAGCTTCATTCTCCGCAAAGAAAGGTATGCCAAGAACCGGTATCCAAACACCATGGCTATAAGGGCAACAACTTCTGTTAAACCGCAGTCTGTGCTTAACCCGTGAATGGTCGGTGTGATGTGTTCGTACTGCACCTTAAGAAGAAGCCTGTATGTGTGGTAGTCGAAAGACATATAGCGAATCCAAGAAATGAACACCGGAACTTTCTACAACATTGTGAATAACATGTTGAGTTAGACTCTTAAAATTTCCATCTTATGAATTGTAATTTTCACTGATGAATTTATTGACAAAATATAGGCTTTTAATAGAGGATTGTATGCTTACTTTCACAAAGAAACCTCCAGCAAGCATGAATGTCATCACAGTTACTGAAGCAAGAGTTGTGGCTTTCTTTAGGTCCATCAATGTAGCTCCTATAGCGAGTCCGAGTCCCTATTTCGAATCCATTTGTAATTAGTTAAGTACGGTAGTGCAAATATTCATAGAATATTCTCAACTAGTAGCTGCAAATAGGCATACCTGCGCAGCCACAATGCAGAGGAAAACTGTAAGCATGCTTAGGAAGAAGGTTTCAGCACTCGGCCTTAAGCCAGCCATGAAATATACAACAACGAGGAACAGAACCGGTAGCATTAGATCAAGTGGGAGGTCACTTGTAGTCCTAGAAACAAAATATGCACTTAATCTGTACATGTCAGCCGATCGTTCCTTCATCAGCATTGCTCTTTCTTGAGGAAATGTGAAGATTGCTGTGAAGACGGGTAAAAATCCCCAGAAGACTGACATGAAGAAAAGAAGCCCTGCCTGCAATTTAGGGTTAAGTTTGTACGTTTAGAACTGATTGTATATTCCATGAAGTGGCCTTCTTTCTGTGAAGTGGTGGTTTTCTTTTGATGTAAATTGAGGAGGGTTTGAGTATCAAGGGAGAGATTTTTCAATGCGACGGTCACACAAAACATTACTTATTGAACGGGTCAGTTAAATTTTATTGATTTGACAAGAGAAGTATTTACCTGATCCTCCCGGCCTTTGGGATCGTTGGCATCTGACTGCCACCAGAGCAAGCCCAAAATTATTGCGGTGGAGATAACTTGAGTGATTCTCAACCAGCTGAAGTAGTCGTGCCTTCTTTCTTTAATTCCTCTACAGAACAAGATAGAAAATTGCTCCCACCAGCTTGCTCCCCATTCTCGCTTCGAAAATGAAATCTTCAACTTCAGTTCATCATCGAGGGGAAGGGGAACCATAATCTTCTTCTTCTCCTTGTCTGCAACTCGTGTCTCGTAGCACTCCACAAGATACTGCTTCCAAATAGAAACACCATATAAGTATACTTTCCATCTCTTGTTAACAAAAATCACTTGTGTCCCGTAAGATTTACCTCTTGCACAACTGCCGGAGATGGCTTTCCATTTCTTGTATCAGCTGCTTCTGAATTTCCCATTTGCACTTTATCCTCTAATTCGGATGGTACAGAAACATCGTTTAAATTTCCATTTGCAAGGTCTAGCAAGAACTCTGCCGGGTTCATGGAAATAAGTGGAGAACATCCTATGGATGAGAAATACACCATTGCTTCTGATGCTTTTCCAAAGTAGAGCAAGCTTCCCTTCCCGAGAAGGATCAACTTGTCAAATTTGTGGAAGAGTCGACTCGATGGCTGGTGGATTGTTGTCACCACAGTCTTGCCAGCCTGCCATACAAACGAAGTTCACTTTTTGCTTTGTGTTCATATTAATAGTACAGCATTGGCGTCTGTGAATGTCTATTCTAATTGCATACCTCTGCTATGTCTTGTAACATCTGAACGATTCGCAATGCAGTTGTAGAATCCAAGCCAGAAGTTGGTTCATCCAGAAACAGAAGAGAAGGGTTGATTAGGATCTCATTGCCAATGCAAACTCTCTTCCTCTCTCCACCTGATACCCCACGGACAAAGGAGCCACCGATCATAGTGTCTTGGCACCTGTGCATATCAAGAATTTTTGCAGGTTGGATTTTTAATCTAGTAACAAAATCGGTAGTTCCTAAAATAGTCTTCGTCATATCTATATCTATCATTCAGGTATTCCATTGATGACAATACTTAAAGGAATCCCAAAATCCAACAGAAACCGGTAGAAGGAGAACTTACCTCTCTAAGCCTAGCTCATAGATGACTTCTATCGCTCGTTTTTCCTTCTGGTCTTTCATCAATTTCTTTGGCAGTCGTAGGAGGGCTGCATATGTCAATGTCTCTTTCACTGTAAGGTGAGGAAATAGAACGTCGTCCTGAGTCACGAACCCTATCCTGCCATATGTTTCATGCCATTATGCATGACCATTATAATACCTATCCACATAGTTTCTGTTTCTCCTATACATTTTACTCTATGTATTATCAAGGTGAAAAAACTTGGTTCCAGATTCATACTTGCTCTTTAGGTACTTGGAATATATCTTATCGTTGTAGGTAATTGAACCGCGGACATTGGTTTGGCTTCCCCTGCCCCCAAGAAGATTAAGGAGTGTGGTCTTTCCACTTCCTGATGGTCCCATCAGGGCCAAAACTTCACCGGGGTTAACCGAACCAGTAATCCCATTCAAGATATCCTTCTCTTCAGCTGTCCTCATTCCTTTGAAAATGACCTTGTATGTCACATCTGTGAACTGAGATAAATAAACAACAGCAAGATTTAGCCTTCATTACTAGGATTCCTAACTAGTTACTTATATTAATGATTCAAATTTATTGCAAAGTCGAAAGATAAGGAATTAATTACATTTCCAGAACCTTAACAGATCAGACTGTCCATATCCTTCTTTCCTTTGATGC